AAAAAAAAAAAAAAAGCAGTATAACTCTTATTAAACAAAGACAGTTTTGACTGAAATGGCTTGAGTTCTAAGTGATGCCAATTCCACTTTTCTCTTACCTGCCCTCACTTCCCTCCCCCACTTGCCTTTGGCTTTCTGAGTTACTTCTTTAATACTCGGAGAACACTATGTGCAAACCCACAGGTATAGAACAAGAGATAAAGGATGGCTGATCCCAGTTCATTAAAAGTGGTTGTATCATGCGCTTAAGAGATGCCTTTCTTGGGGTGCCTGGGTTGTTCAGTTGGTTAAACGCCTTACTCTTGATTTCAGCTCAGGTCATGATCTCACAGTTCATGAGTTCAAGCCCCACATTGGGCTCCATGCTGATGGTGTGGAGCCCACTTGGGATTCTCTCTCTCTCTCCCAGTCTCTCTCCCCCTCCTGTGTGCTTTCTTTCTCTCAAAATAGATAAAATATATTTTTAAAAAAAGATGCCTTTGTTAGGAGGTTTCTAGAAAACATGGTCTTATTTATGTCTCCCTTTGGGTTACACAGAGTGAGGAAAGGTGATGACTGCAGAGGGAGGAAAAATTTTGGGAGAGAAGTGCTGAGCTATAAAGCCCGAGAATTATGGAAGAGGAATTTAGAAATTACTTGGTTCTCAGGCCCCTGATTTTACAAATGAGAAAACCAGGGCCCAGATTATAGCACTTGTTCATGCACAGCAGACCAAACTCCAGCTTTCCTGCCTTATGGTCTAGAAGTCTCCCTTCTGCACCACACTGCCTCCTGTGGTCTGTGTGCTATGTGCCCAAGGGCCCTAAAGGATGGGGGCAGAGGGCCATTTGGGCTGAGTGCACTGTGGTTGGATTGGAATTGCTATTCCTTATCTGCATGTTGAGACTTAAGTGTTTTCATTTGCTCTTTAAAACTTCTTTTTAGAGGCGCCTGGTGGCGCAGTTGGTTAAGTGCTGACTCCGGCTCAGGTCATGATCTCGGTGGTTCATGAGTTCAAGCCACGCAACCAGCTATGTGCTGACAGCTCAGAGCCTGGAGCCTGCTTCAGATTCTGTGTCTCCCTCTCTCTCTGCCCCTCACCCACTCATTCTCTCTCTCTCTCTCTCTCTCTCGCGTTTGTCTCTCTGTCAAAAATAAACATTTTTTAAAAAATTAAA